AAATGACCTTGATTTAGTAACCAGAATTATGGATGCTATCTTACTAACACACTAAATATTGTGCCACCCATCCAATTAAAAAAAAACTAGAGAGAATAAAACTACACCATGGTATAACAAGTCAAGCTGTGTTAATACCAGACGTGGAACGTTTGGATAAATAGGGTTAGGCTGAGCAACAAATTCACTGAGCAACAGACGCTTATTCGCGTTATGGGCAGGGCTTCTGTGTGCCCGGTGACTCTAGCTTCGTGCTTGATGGCTAACATGGATTTTATTGAGAAAATAATTGTTTATGTGCTTTATGAGGGCTGAAAAACAGCCTCGATGCGTTTGGGACTGTGTCTGAGTGCACTAGATCCTATCAGAGCTCTGTGAGCTTATAAACTCCTCCAGAAACTTAAGCTGGATGATGAAAGCTTTCAGCGGTGCTTCTGACTGAACAGAGCCCAGTTTGATAAACTGTTGTCGGTGTGTGCAGGAGGATTTTCCCCCGGGACACCAACAACAGGCGCTACGTCATAATCAAGCCCCCACAAAATTATCCACTGAAGTTTAGATTTTTGAACTAATGGATTTGCACGAAACGCATAGAACGTGCAAAACGATCTATTCACACAGTGCCATTCGTGCAATTCATACTGCAGGATGTCTATTCGCGCCTTTGCATTGACTTCACATGTAAATCACTCGTGCTTGATGCTTCTTCCGCGTCTGGTGTGAACACAGCATCACACTTATGCTAAGCAAGCAGTGCCCTGGAATGTAAGTGGTAAAAACTAAATTAGAGGTCTTTAGAATTGCATACAAACACAATATGTCCACCTATAGGAGGGCTCTAAAATCTGCCAGTGCTGAGTACTTCGGCAAACTGATAGAAAAATAATCATATAAAATCTTATATTTTTATTTAACACTATTGCTAAATTAACAAATAATTTGTCATCTTTGGAACAAAATGTCACACAGCAAATCAGTAGTGGTGACTTCATAATTTTTTTCAGTGATAAAATAGAAGGCTTTAGACAGAAAATAGAAATTGTTAAACTTTCTGCACCGCCTTATCCTTCAGATCCATTAAACGTTCCACTGAATCAAAACAAACTACAGTGCTTCAAAATCATAGAACAGACAGAGCTAGATAAAATTATAAATGGTTCTAAACCAGCTACATGTATGTTAGACCAAATGCCAACAAAATAACTGAAAGAATTGCTACCTGTAATATGAGAACCTCTTCTTAACGTTATCAACTCTTCTTTATCTTTAGGCCATGTTCCAAATCCTTTTAAGCTAGCTGTTATTAAGTCTATTATTAAGAAACCACAGCTGAACCCCAGCAACTTAGCTAATTATAAGCCTATTTCAAACATTACATGTATGTCTAAAATGCTAGAAAAAAAGTTGTGTCTGCCCAATTATGCTCCTTTCTGCAGATGAACAATGTTTTTTAAAGTGTTTCAGTCAGATTTCAGGCCCCATCACAGTACAGATAGTGAAAATAACCAATGATTTACTCTTAGCTGCTGACCAAAGATGCATCTCGCTATTAGTTTTACTTGACCTTAGTGCTGCATTTGACACCATTGATTCCAGGGACAGGCTCTACAATGGTTTAAGTCATACTAAGCTAACCGTTACCAGTTTGGAAATATAAATGGACAGCTTTAACAAGACTGGCCAGTAAAGAATGTGGTGCCTCAATGATCAGTTTTAGGCCCTTTGTGGTTAACAAAATACATGCTACCCCTGGGAGACATTATTAGAAGATATTGGATTAGCTTTCACTGCTATGCAGATGATACTCAATTAATTATTTTAACTAAACCTGATGAGTCAGCTCAATATCCTAGGGGTTAGCATGCCAACATATGGTGCAGTAGCACGTCAGGGGGTTCCAAGTTCGAATCCCGGCTTGAGGACATTTCTTAACCTTACCCCACTCTCTCTCTCTCAAACTTTGTTTCCTGTCTCATTACGGTCCTGTCAAATAAAGCCAAAAAGGCCAAAAATAAATCTTAAAAAAAAAAAAAAAACTAAACCTGAGGAGATGAGACACCTGAACTGTCTTAGCTAAATGAGTGTATTAAAGATGTTAAAGACAACTTTCTTCTCTTAAACCCAGACAAAACAGAAGTATGACTTATTGGGCCAAAATCCTGTACACAGCAGAACTCACAACTCAACTTGATATTAGAGGGATGCAAAGTTAGCATTATCTCTACTATAAAAGATCTGGGTGTTATATTAGACAGCACTTTAACTTTTAAAAAGCATATATCATGTCACAAAAACTGCCTTCTTTCATCAGAGAAATATTGCTAAGTTACAAAGTATGCTATCCATCTCAGATGCAGAAAAGCTAGTTCATGCTTTTATGACTTGGATTACCGAATGCCCTGTTCGCTGGTTGCCCAGCATTCTCTATTAACAAACTTCAGCTAGTACAAAATGCAGCTGCCTGTGTTCTTACCAGGTCTAGAAAATATAATCACATCACCCCAATTTTATCCTCCTTACATTGGCTGCCTGTCAATGTGTCATCTGGCTCCTGTATATCTAACCAACTTACTGCCTCGTTACAATCCAACCCGCTTTTTAAGATCTCAAAACTCAGGGCTTCTGGTAGTACCTAAAATAGCAAAGTCGAGTAAAGGAGGTCAAGTCTTCTCATTTATGGCTCCTAAACTCTGGAATAGCCTTCCTAATAGTGTCTCAAATACATTCTTGCAGTTCAAAAAAAGATTAAAGACCTATCTTTTTAGTAAAGCATAATGCATCACATAGCGGCATGATGCATAAATGTGCTCCATGCAGGTTTTTGCATCTCGTTTATATACACAATGAATAGCAGCTACGCTAATTTTTCTCTTTATTCTCTATTTCTACCTGGGGACAGTCATTCCGAGGCCACCAGAGATTATGCAGCTTCACTGATGCGATCCAAGACATGTGAAGAGATGATACCAAGGTTTTCATAATCCCGGACCAGGCTGGATCTGAGCGGCTGCTGCGGTGGTCATGGAGGAGAGGAGAGCATGTGACTGATTCCTGTGAGACTCCAGGGACAGACGAGTCTTCGTTAATGTCCAACGTTCTCCAGCCCTCAGCACCTAGACTGCAGCTCTGAACAAGACGTTTGGCCAAAGGAGAAATGGTTGTGCCCAACTGAGCCTGGTTTCTCTCTAGGTTTTTTATCTTCACTTTCGCTAATTGGTGAAGTTTTGGATTAGCTCTTTAGTGTTTGGACTCTCAGCAGTGAATATTAAACCACACTAAACTGAACTTAAACTCTGAAAACTGAACTGACACTGTTTCAATTCACTATATTCTTCATGTGAAGCTGCTCTGACACAATCTACATTGTAAAAGCACTACAGAAATAAAGATAAATTGAATTGAAGAAAAATAAACAGCAATTCCAATAGGGCCTACGGTCAGTAGGTACTTGGTCCCTACTAATAATAATAAACGGAGCAATTCCAATAGACCATATGCACCGTAGTTGCTCTGTCCCTAATAATAATAATAATAATAATAATAATAATACTACACTGAGCAATTCCAATATGATCCACGCACCGTAGGTCTTTGGTCCACTAAATAATAACAAACAAATTTATTCAATGCAGAAGTGTGCTCGTTTTTGAGATTGTTTTAGAACTTTCGATTCAGTTACTAATGGAAGAAATGTATAGAAATAAAAAATGGTCAAACAACTTGCTCTACAAACAAGAGTGTTCATGACAATACAGACAAAACAAAATAATAAAAAATATCAGTTTGCAACGTCAAAAGCCACAACAGTTTTTAATGTATTAAAAATAAATGAAAGTGAATTAGACCGGATGTCTCAAGCCAAAATAATTCAAATGGCTATGCCCGCTTGTACGCGAAGAATAAAGCTTGTTTCACATCGCAAGCACACATGACGCGTGAACAGAGCATGTTTTTTTGGCATTCATGAAACAGATTAGAGTTTTCTTACTGCACACAGAAGTAACGCGTCAGCACTAGGCGTGATTGTTGCTAAAGCAGCAGTGTGCGATAGTTTTGGCACTGGGTCTATTTAGGCCGCACTGCTCATGCTCAATTAAAGTGACAGTGTATCGATAGTGACCAAAACACATTGAATGACAGTAAAAAGTAGCAATTTTACAAAAAACAAAAAAACAAATGTAAACAATTTTAGTATCAGTTTTGCTTAAGTTGCACACTAGTGTTGCAGGAGAGGGGAAATAGAAATAGAAGTGGCAGCTTTAAGACTGCTATTTACGGGAGTTGTAGTCCATAGCAAAGTGTATTGTGGGTAGTGTAGTTCAACACGCAAGCTGGATGATGTGAGCTCGCTGTGTGCTGTGCAGTAGAAGTAGAGGAAAAAAGTTTTATTTGGCTCTGTTTTATGTTCAATCAAGTAATTTCACCCAGGAGCTGTTTGCACTGTGAACCTGACAACAGTAAAATAACTAAAAGAAGGGCATGCATTGATTACTTTTGTCAGTCTCATCCTTTGCACGCCGCTGGACATTACTAAAGCAGTGAAAGAAACACTAGTTTGAGCATATATAAATATCATTATTATAACTATAGGCCAACAACATCCTGACAATCAAAAACAGGCTGTTTGAAACAGGAGTTAGATGAATAAGGTCTACGAATCGTAGATGCTCGGTCCCTAATAATAATAATAAACGGAGCAATTCCAATAGAGACCAATCACCTACGGTGCATAGGCATAAGCATAAAAAGCATAAGAATAGGTTTAAAAAAAATGGATAACTAATTATCAGTGTCAATTATATCAGTCCATTATATCAAAAAATTGCGGCAGCCCTAGTATCCGCATACACAGACACATAAAGTGAGCAGTCATTCTGCTGTGGCAAAAGGGAAGGAACTAGCGGGGGAAGAAAGTGGAGAAGAGAGCTGTTCATTTACTCATCCTAATTACAACTCCTGCAGATACTGCAACTTATGGGTTATGAAAGTAAACTTAATACCATGTATCCTCATTTCCAGATATCCTCGAACCCTGCTGACCAGGTCAGGTGGAGGTCTCACTATTCTGCCTTTGGCAGTGCCTTCCTCATGTGCTCTAACCTCCATCAGCAGTAGTTCATTAAGCATGACCTGACGCAGCTTTGGAGAAAACTCTGTCACCAGCTCCAGGCATGCCGTAAAAAGCTGACAAGCATGTACAAAATCCTGAAACAACAACAACAAAAAAGAGCTGGTTGAAATTGCAAACAACAAACCTGACATCTAAACTAAATGTTTTATTTACTTATCTGAAGTAAATAAATTAACACCTACCCACAATAGAAAACTAAGTACAGTACAACAATTTAAAAACATGTAACATCAAAAAAATTTTCTTTTAGTTACATATGGGCACATTACAAAACAACCCACCTCTACATTTCAAATGCATACAATAAGTAGTCAGAATAAAAATGTTAACAGTTAAAGGTGCTGTGAGTAAGTTTGTGACTCTTGTAAAGAAAAAAAAAACATAATATGCTTGCATATATTTAAGAACCATTAACATACTTGTATACCTGAACAATAATAATAATAATTCATTTTATTTATAAATGGCCTCTTTCTGGATACCTAAGTTCGCCTTACAGTAAGCATCAGCAGACATGCTAAACAACTTAAACATTACTAAAAACAATCATTGACCAAACAATTTAAAACGCAATAGCGAATATAAAAGAACATAATAAAAACATGATAAAAAAAATTGTTAAGTAAAAGCCTGCTTAAAAAGATGGGTCTTTAGACGTGATTTAAAATTGTGAAGACTATCACTGCTCCTAAGATCTACTGGAAGTGAGTTCCATAGCCTAGGAGCCATAGAGCTAAAAGATCTGTCTCCCATTTTGCTCAGTCGAGTGCGAGGTGGTGCCAGAGTGAAGTTGTTAGCTGACCTAAGGGTACGAGAAGGGGTGTAGATATGGAGAAGTTCAGTGAGATATTGAGGAGCGAGATTATGAAGTGCCTTGAAAGTTAGAAGTAATATTTTAAAATCAATTCGATACTTTACTGGAAGCCAATGAAGCTGATAGAGGAGTGGTGTGACGTGCTCGTAAGATGGGGTCCAAGAGATGACACGAGCTGCATGGTTCTGAACCAGTTGGAGTTTATGGAGAAGTTTGGAAGGAAGTCCAGAAAGAAGTGCATTACAGTAGTCAAGACGTGAAGTAACTAATGCGTGGATAAGAATGGCTGTGTTATTAGTTGTGAGAGAAGGGCGGAGACGAGTGATATTACGCAGGTGGAAATATGCAGTACGTGTAATATTATTAATGTGACCTTCAAATGAGAGTGTGCTATCCAAGATAACACCCAAACTCTTTACCTGCATGGAGGGAAAATTTGTACTGTTATCAATGTCTATAGTGAAATTATCAGCTTTATCCAAAACACTTTTAGTGCCGATGAGAAGAGCTTCAGTTTTGTCGCTGTTTAATTTTAAAAAGTTAGCTGAAAGCCAGATTTTTATTTCAGCTAAACATCTGCTCAAAGCAGGAGGAGGAAAAGAACAGGAGGGCTTGGTGGACAGGTAGAGTTGAGTGTCGTCAACATAACAGTGAAATTGTATGTTGTATTTTCTGAAAATGTGACCAAGAGGCAGTAGATATATGATAAACAGGAGTGGACCTAGTACAGAACCCTGTGGGACACCAGTAGTGACAATCTGCGATCTTGACTTAAAATCTTTAATTTGAACAAACTGATATCGATCTTCAAGATATGACTTCAACCATAAAAGAGGGGTGCGAGAGATCCCTAGTGAGGCAAGCCTATTCAAAAGAACCTGCGAAACCGTGTCAAAGGCTGCACTCAAGTCCTGGAGAATAAGAATTGACAGTAAACCAGAGTCTGCTGCCAGTAGTAGATCATTAGTAATCCTGACAAGAGCAGTCTCAGTGCTGTGGTTGGGACGAAAACCAGACTGGAAGAGCTCAAACAAATTGTTATTAGCAAGATATTTATGGAGTTGAGACGCAACACATTTTTCCAGTATTTTTGAGACAAATGGCAAATTGGAAATTGGTCTATAGTTGGCCAAATTGGATGAATCAGCTCCAGGTTTTATTAGTACTGGGGTGATTACAGCAGTTTTAAGTAAAGATGGGACAGATCCAGAATCCAGTGATTTGTGAATAATGTTTAGTAATCAGTGTGGACAATGATGGAAGACGGGTCTTAACTAAGCATGTAGGAAGTGGATCAAGCAGGCAGTTGGTAATTTTAGATTTCTGTATATGACCAATTATTTCAGCGGTAGATGGTAAGGTAAAAGTATCAAAAGAAAAATGTGTGATGATTTCAGAAACATTTTGACTGAAGTCAGGGGCTGAACTATTTGTATGTAATTGATTATGAATGCCCTTAATTTTTGTTTCAAAAAAAGACAGGAAGCTGTTACATAACTCAGTTGAAGAAGAAAGTGATGTGTCAGGAAAACTTAATGATTTTTTAACTACAGAGAAGAGTAATCTAGAGTTACCCTGACTAGATTCTATTCTGTTAGCATAATAGTCAGATTTTGCTTTAAGTAATGCTTCCTTATAATGATGAGCATGTTCTGTAAACATTTCTTTGTGGACAGTTAACCCAGACTTCTTATACAACCGTTCCAACCTGCGACCTTAATTTTGAGTTGATGCAGATCAGAAGTAAACCAAGGAGCAGAAACAGAAAAAGAGACAGTCCGGGTTTGTAAAGGTGCAAAAGTGTCCAAAATTTCAGATAGTCTACTATTGTAAATAGACACCAGAGCATCAGCAGAAGATGAGTCCACATTGTATGCAAAACTATTAAGTACATCTGAAAAATGTAATAAATCAATGTTCTTAACGTTTCTAAATTTGATTGTCCGGGGTGACTGCAATTTAAAAACTGCAAGCTGAGCACAAAAAGACACTAAGAAATGGTCAGATACAAGAAGATCAGAAACAGTACATTTGTTAGGGATTATTCCAGAGCAACAGATGAGATCAAGGGTATGGCCTTTAGTGTGTGTAGGGAAATTAGCAAATTGCTGCATTCCAAAGCTGTCCAAGCAGGATAAAAAGTCGATTGTATTAATATTGTTGCCAGCATCAATATGAATATTAAAATCACCCAGCATAATAACATTAGGAGACAAGGAGCACAGCTCAGTTAAAAACTCAGAAAGTTCAGTTAAAAAGCTTGAACTGCGTTTAGGAGGACAGTATATTGCAGCAAGAATAGTCGGAACTGCCCCATTAATTTAATGATGACTGACTCAAAAGAGGGGTATTCAGACACAGTTACTTGAGATACCTTCCATTTCTCCTTATAGAGTATCGCCACGCCCCCTCCCCGTCCAGTAGTGCGGGGTTTACAAATTTATTTGTAGCCTGGTAAAACAGCTTGGTTAAAATAATAGAAATCATCATGTCTTTGCCAAGTTTCAGTAAGACAGAGGAAATCAAACTTATGGTCAGACAGTACGTCTTGCAGCAGATGACTTTTATTAGATAACGAGCGAATGTTGAGTAGTCCAAAAGATAGATTGTTTTTGCATGCTTCGTTGGAAGCGGAGTTTGCTGGGTATGTGAGTACATTACGGTCAATGGATCTTACTGACCTTGATGCCTGGCGAGGGTTGGACGACCAGAAAGACCGTATTTGGGATGAGTTGTCAATGTTGTAGGACCGTCGGGATCCTCTGTGAATATATCTCCGACGTGGCCGGACCGCGATGTCCGAATGAAAGCGCAGCGTTGACGGAGTCTCCGAGAAGTGGGAGCGGAGTTGAAGAAGTTCCTCTGCCGAATACTGGAGTAGTAGCTCCGCATGGCGATAAACAGCAGCGAGGAAGATCCAGAGTGTTATGACCCGAACAAGCAGGTCAGGAGCTTTCATTGTCGTTTCGTCTCTTCTCCGGGTTTGAGTTGAGTGACAGCTGCTGTGAAAGGACTGTCACAAAGTCACGATTAGCACCATAAAGGAGACCGGTGCAGTGGAAAGTGCAGAGGTTTAGCATAAAGTGCCATGCGTTATACAGTAGATGTACTGTCATCTGTGTAGTCCAGACAGAAGTTCTTTAAAATAATAATGCTTTAGCCAGATATTCTGCTATGAAAATGAGCTTTTTGTGCCAAAACGCTGTCTTTGTTTTTGGTAATTTTAACTTGCCTAATGCCAGTTTAGCCAATTATATTTCAGCACCTGGGTTGCCTTGGTGGAAAACCACTCGCTTGTTCGTCCGTTCGTTCATTTGTTTGTTCATTCATTTTTAAAGGCTCAGAAAGCATGTGTCAGTAACTGGTGGACAGTAGCAGACTCCGAAATGAGGTAGATTCAGTTTCACATGAAGTTATTAATTAGCAAATGATATAAATTTTATGAATGTAAACAATAGGTCTAATGTAATGTAATGTGTGTGTGTGTGTGTGTGTATATATATATATATATATATATATATATATATATATATATATATATATATGTATATGTATATATATCGCATATATTGTGTGCCCCAGAGTAACTAAATTGTCGGCCAGGGATGATCTCTGTCTCACCCAGTAGACTCCCTGGCACCGGGTGATCGAAATTGTCCTGTAGACTGAAACCAGACCATTTTTTAAAATCAATAAGTAGTTTTACCTATGGACTGTAAGCTACAAATACCCCCCTCGCAACAAAGTAGGTTTGGAGAAAACCTTGTTGGTTGAGATCTAACTTGACGTACAGGTTAAGCTGGAGGTGGGTTTTCCTCGACCTCCGTTCCTGGGTCGTCGGGTCGTGGTTTAGACTCAAGCAGTGTTGACATGGTTTCTTCATGCTCTTTCCTCCCACCCCTTCCTGGTTTCGCGCTTGAAAGCTTTAAGGGGGAGTTCATCGGCGTGCTTGTCCACTGGTGCTTGCATCTTATTGAATGGCAAAGCCCTTGTTTTTGTGTATTTCCCTGCTGTCGGGAGGCAGAGTGTTGGTTGTCCAGCAGTTGTCCAGAGATGAGTGATAGAGAAGTATAGTTGTGAGGTTGCAGTGGTCCTCTGGTGAGGCTGAGATACAGGGTCGTGGCTGTATCCTGTGTAGAAGAGGAAGTGAGAGAGAGAATAGGGGAGAGAGTAGGTGATGTCTGCGATCGCTGTGCTTGGCTGGACATTTCACTGTGACACCGGTTGCGGGGTCTCTTTCCCCCTTTTCTGGCTTGTGAC